ATAATGACAATTATACAAATTTTGTATGTAAAATGGATGTACGTATTTTAACAAATTATTTTGTAGTTGTTGCAGCTAAATTGTTAGAAATAATTTTCCGAACCATATTTAGTTGCAATAACTACTAAATAGTTTATTAAAATATATACACACACAAATATAATTCTACATACAAAACTCCATATTAGATCTACATACAAAATATAGTTGTCACCTATATATTTATCACCACCATATGTTTTGTTCTGAGTTTTAGGTAGCATGTCTCTCAATGTTTATACGCTATCATGAAATTAAAATGTGCATTTACATTGTAGCAATGTTGATTTGAAAAAAGGTATTCCATAATAGGCTTCGTTACCCTACATTGTGACGGGCAACCTCGCGGAATTATATTTGCCGAATTATACGCACACGTGGAATTTTCGTCGCTGCGTTATAAAATGATAATTTTGGAAGAACGTTACGCTCGCTCGCGGTTTACGCGCGCCGCGCTTCTAACGTTATCTCCCATTAAAATTTTCGCGAGAGCGAGGTATATCCCATTAAAATAACACGCAAATATCACCGCTTCGCATCGTCGCATCTCTATATAATAGATAGATGCATCATAACATACACGCGCGCTCATAATGCATGTGAGCACAAGAGGAGTGTGCATTCATATGCTAGAGGGGTTTCTTCTGAATAGGACGTGGAGAGGCTCCACGTCGACATCTGATTTTCCTGCCCAGTTTCCTTCCAATCATCCGAGTGGATTGGTCGAAATTCTCCTCGGAGCGCACTGCTCGCGCATTCATGCAGTCGCGCCACACAAATTTGCTCATGTAGGAAATCGCTGCGCATGATCACACGTAGGCCCACGCCTCGCTGACCCAATAACATTCTTTATTATATCCCGTGGTGGTGTTCATTCGCTTGTTTCTTGCGAATTGGCCTGCTAAAAGCCATACATTGTGGATGCCCGCGGGACAATTGCGTAATTATGATACAGTAATCACGGCGTGTTGGGCTTAAATGGAAGCGGCATAATAGAAATGCTCAAACGCTCACCGCAGGAAGGAAACGAGATTATTTTTCAATGCAAATTAATTCATCACGATTCTGTAACACTGAATAATTCGTCTTATTGTTCCGTTAGTTATTCCTAAAAAGGAGGATAAACACGTCACCCCCTTCTTAGTGTTCAGCAGTACATAAAATGCGCGCTTCATTCAAATTGCGCGCATACATTTCAACATTTTTCATCGCCGTGTATTTTCAAAGTTATTCCCTCTGATGTTTGCAACTCGTCTCTCGTTGGCTATGTACGCACTTCGTAACATTATATCGCGTTACTTCGACTAGCCCTTTCATTTTTGCTATTTTGTATCGAGTCCCACTTGAACCATTAGTGATCCTATCAAAATACTATTGCAATTTGCGTTTTTAATATCGCGTTACAAAATAAGCTAAAAAATGTTTTAGAGAAGTTCAGAAACGCTATTTGTACGTATTTTACTACGTGGCAGCTTTGTGAACGTGATTTTCGCTATTTCTCGAAAAGCTTTCAGTGAAGTAGCGCCGCATATTCGCTGATAAATGTAATGCAGGCTCCACCGTAACCAATTTACACGCCGGCGTCTATTGATTCCGAACGCGTACAAATATTTAATCAAAGCGTCCTTCTCTTTCCGTACACTTTCACATTACTTTGCCGGATGTGACTAACGAGGCAGCGACTATCGCGAAGCATCTACAGCTGCAACGCTGTCGTTAAGGTGATTGGCCTGTAAAACCACTTTCTTAGGAATTTTTCTTTAAAATCTTAACTGCATATTAATGCAAATACTGTTTGTACGTCCGTACAGTTGGGAAAAGATTTATCATTTGAGAGCTAAGATATTTGCAACTAAAGTCGACTTTTATGCGGATTTTAATGTCTTGCATTTAAATATCTATTTTCAATTTGTTAAATAGAATGATTTTATTTTCATTGGAAAACTACTATGATATTAAACACACAGATGTATGTACGAAAATTTCAGAATTATTGGTCAGTTTTCTTTATAAAATATTGCATTGAAAAATTCACAATTTATTTATAATAATACTCGGAGTATATAAATATATATGTACATATTTAAATATTTATATAACTTTTTTAATATCTAGGCATCTTTGTTAGATCAAATTTTACATAAATAAAAAATAATTATGAAAATAAAAAATTAATAATATTTTCGTATTTGTAATAT